TACCTGGGGAACCTAAAACCTCGAAAAAACAGGGTTATGGGACAAAACCGGGTTTTTTTCGGGAAAGACGGGTTTTACGAAAACCCACAATTTAAGGGATCTCGATAAAGAGCCAAAGGACTGACTATCATCCCTCTTGAAGAGCATCGCAGAGCCCGAAAGATACCCAACATAATTCCAGCTGAAGACCTCTAACATCCTTTAGAAAGGTTTATAGGGCATAGTTGTAGGGTGTCAGCATGGGCCTCATGAGTCCTCGGTTCGGGTCCAGGAGTTCTGGGTTACAAGTGGGCATCAGATTCCATGAAAGTCTGGCGTGCGGCCTTTCTGCTCTCCATCCTGGCCATCCTTCAAGAGAGAAAGCCGCGAACTCAGCTAGGGCAGCTCCAGACACACTGTCACAAATATACATGCCTATATACACATGTGTGCAATATAAGCTGTGTATGATCACAACTTTGTGCCGTCATGAGTGCCCTAGGAGGTACTTCGCCTTGACATACTGTGCATAAGCCGCCAACAAATACCTCTCTATGCAGCGTTTCGCACACGTACGCGCATCTACTCGCCTAGCCAACCTGCTGCCAACACCCACAAAGTCCTCGTCCATTTGTACCGAACAGGCCAGTACATTCATCGGCCAGATTCCCCGCTTTGCCGGCAGCAAAAGGTCGCTGAGAAGCAGGTGGTGCATGATATGAACTTTGGGGGTCAGCAACCAAAGAGCACGTTGATCTTTGCCGGCCTGTTTGGCTAGCCACGCCAAGCGGCGCAGAAAGCGAAGCCCATCTTCCGCGATTTGAACGGCCCGCCCAGGCTCGAGGAATAAATCAGATGCATACAAAGCTGAGAAGAACTTGTTGATGCTTTGAACCGCTTCGGCAGCTTTTGCCAACATCGGCTCGCTAGCCCAATTTTGCTGGCACATGGTTGCCTCCAAAAATTTGAAGAGGACGGTCGTGACGGAACCTTTGAACCAAGCTCCAGCTGGATAGTCAAGAGTGGACGGCCATTGGATGCTCTCTTTTGTGAGCCGCGTGAGCACGGGGACTTGCCGGTTTGTTTTGCACCATGTAAAAAAGCTGTGTTCCAAGGCTTCGAAGCGCAAGTCCACGTTGCTGCCCGGAAAGTGACAGCTCCAGAGAGCTAGGCAGCTTCCCAGAAAATGTTTGCCAACGCCTAAATGGAAGGCATGGAATGCATCATATGTCAGGATGCCTTCCTCCTGCCCAGGGATAGCAAGCAGCCGAGCGACAGCAGGCACCGTTGCAAATCCAGACTCGGAAAAAGTTGTCTGGAGCCAGCGCGGCTCCCTTTCATGAATTGTTTCCCACGGGCCCCCGCAGCGCACAAGTGACAGATTCCTGTCTTTTTGTCGCCAGCTTTCTTCGGAACGTTGTTGAAGCTCCTCGCGAGAGACCCGCATCGATGAAGCCAGGGCCAATCCCCTGTGACAGCAATAACTGCGAAGTAGACCTGAGTTTCGTCTCTATCATTTAATAAGATGTGATCTTTGCACAGCCTGGCGAACAAACAAAAATAAACCCAATGCAGCTACCTTTGAAAAATATACAAAAGGCCCGGAGCCTTGTCACAAGCATATAAAGTCAAAACGTTGATGTAAAAAACCCCCTCGACTCGGCGGTTGGTGTGGTTCTGTACCACGCCATTGTTGACCATGAACAAAGCTTCACTCGCCGCATTTTGCATCAGAGCTTCGAATATGTGGCTTTTCTGGTGCAGTTTTTTTGGAACCGCACAGTGAAGAAGTCTCGTGATCAGCGAGCTGTCCTTGAAATTCATCCGGAGCTTGAGATAAGGCCTGGGTTGTCCACGCTGTTCCTCCGTGCCCTTCCCCATCAAACTGTGGAAGTTGCAAACAAGAAATGGCGTACGGCGGCGGCCACGGCCTTCGTCCCCATGGTAGACGAAAGGAAAAGTCTGTTTTGGGTCCAGTGATCCCTGAGCAAAGCGCTCATGTGTTTGATGATCCGGATGAAGCTTCCGGTGCTTGGTCCAGAATTCTTCACATATGTGTTGCTCTCTCTTGAGGTCGGGTTTAGCCAACCCGACCAGCATGTGTAAGCAGTGCTTGTCAGCTAGGAACTGCCCCCAATCTCGAAGTTTCAGAATGGGGAAGGCAAGATCGTCTTCCCCGAGCATCGACAGTGGAACTGGCAAGCTCAGACCAGCTTTGCGACCCATTAGCCGTGAGCCATCTCTCTCTGATTTACTCTCCGAAATTGTAGCTAACTCCACAAGGCCTCCGCTGGCAGCTGCTGCCTCTTTGCCGATGTCTGAGACCACATCCCGCGCTGTACGTATCGCAGATCTGTAGCTGGCCTCGGCGAGCGGTTTGCTGAAAAAACACACACACACACACACACACACACGCATATAGATATGTATATAATCACGGTGCATGCACACAGCTCCAACTCGCGGAAGCAAAGCCCTATAGAGGCAGTCAAGTGCATGCGGGAATCAGAGCTCAGATTGTTTTGACACTCGCACGCATGCCACAGCTGCAGCGCTTTATTGGCCGCTGGCATGTAGGAGGCTTTTGCAAAGATTTGTACACTACATATGTCATATATCTGCTCGCCGAGGTAGACTGCTCCGTGTGCATGGTATCGCCGCCCAGTCGGATATTTCGACAACCAGGCCTGCCTTGGGTAGAAGCCAACGCATGCAGTGCTGCACATGTCGTGCACAAGTGTCGACACACATGGATTATGGAGCGAGACAGAGCGGGAGAGAAAGAGAGAGCGAGAGAGAGAGAGCGCGAGAGAGACAGAGTGAGTGAGTGAGTGAGTGAGTGAGTGAGTGAGTGAGTGCGTGAGTGAGTGNNAGAGAGAGAGAGAGAGACAAAGCGAGAGCCAGAAAGAGAGAGTCAGAAATACAGAGAGAGAGAGAGAGAGAGAGAGAGACAGAGAGCGGGAAAGAGGGAGAGAGAGGGACATAGACAGAAAGTGAGAGAGTAGGAGAAAAAAGGGAGCCCAACCCAAAGCAACAGTAGGAACGAGCGACTAGAGAATTTGTCGATCAGGGATGCTTCCAACATTCCAGGGCCGTAGGGCTCATCACTGGAGTACAGAATCATCATATCAGTCCATCCGTCAGCAGCGTGAATATATCCATACAATGCATTCGTCCATCGCCAAATCGGGTCGTGTGTGAACCCTATCTTAAATATGAGTGGCCCCTTCTCACGAAACAAGCTTTCCAGCTGCTTCACACAGTGCTGCAGGACCTTTCCTGGCGTGGCTCCGGCAACTGGCACCTTGTACGAAATGCATGCAACAGCCTTGCACTCAGCTGTGCACACGGGGACAAGCACAGCTTCGGTTTCATTTTCAGCAGGATCTGTCAATTTGACGGGTAGAACGGTCGACTGCTGTTGGCCTGTCATTTGCTTCATGTAATTGCATATCAGTGTAGCATATTGGCGATCTTCCGCATCGTCCTTGGGCTTTGCTGCTTCAGTCGCTCTCTTGGACCAGGGAAATGGCCCCTCAGCTTCCTCAGTGAACCCGAGCAAGCTCAGCGCATCCTTTTTACCTAGTATCCACGGAGTCACGAAACCATTAAGTTGCGGCCAAGAACACCGAACGATGACAAGTCAACAGCTCTAGTAGCTCATCGTCGGAGTCAGCAAGGGGGGCGAGGTTTGCATCTCCCATCCAAGGACAATTAATTCAACTGTACATAATATCAGTATCTTATTGGACGGATTGTGCCGAAAGCATATATATGAATATATTCAGAACAACCCCAGGCTATAGATGATATCTGGCGTGCTACAACGTAGCTGACTTCAGAAACCCTTGATGCTCGAGTCCATTGCTTTGAGCCCATAGTTCCACTTGTGGCAAAACACTTTCCACATTGCTACTGGCAACAATCGATCAACACTGCTAACAGAACTGTCGTCATCCTTCCATTGCTCCATTCGATGACTCAGGATCCGGCTCCACTGCCAACTGCGCTTGCCAAGCCTCGGAGAGCTTTGCCAGGCTTGACACCTGGCGCGTAGAATGAGCTGAAGCAGTCAAGGCCCCTACGGTAGATGTCGTCCCACGTTGAAGAGCGAAAGCAAGCATTGCTGTTTTTTTTCGCGCAGCTGCAGAGCCTATACATGTAGCTCCCATAGACAGGACTTTGCAGTCTGAAACCCTGGCGCTGAAACTCTTCTGTTGCCCGGCAGCATCCATGCATTATACTATATGAAACAGCCAAGTCTTTGGACCCGGTAGTTTGTACATCCTGGAGGGAGGAGAGAGAGCGAGGGAGAGAGAGAGAGAGAGACAGAAAGGGTAAAGAACGAGAACAATATGCTAAGACACAGAAACACGAAGTAGTTAATGCTGAATATATACAAATAACAAGGTACGTTTCCAGAACATAGCTATATATATATATATGTAGCAAATACACACACAAGAAGTACGAGTTCAAATAACATGAGCAATATCAAGAGAGAAAGAGACAGAGAGAGGGATTCTCGTTGAGGGAGGGGGCTATAGAATACAACAGGAATCTATATACTGGGTGAAAGCAGCTCTAGTGCGAGATCTTATCCTTGTTCTGACATTTGCTGCGCAACAACAGGCCTGTACTGAATTTGCAGCTCCCAAGAGAGGCTCTACTTCTTTTTTGCCGCCGCCTTCTTGGCGACGCCTTTCGGGGCGGCCTTGGGGGCTCCCGGCTTCGATGAATGCTTGTCGAAGAAGGGCTTGCAATGTGTCCTGGGATTTCTGCGTATTTGCGTTGTCTTCGGGGTTGGAGTTGGTAGGTTAGCAACATTATATAGGTACAAGATATA